CCCCTTCTTCCCCACCTATCTCCTTCCTGCCCTCTCTCCCTCCCTCTAAAATCAACAATTTTTTTCCAAGTAGACTTTGATGATGAAATGAACTGAAGGAAAATAATGTCAGGTTTTCTCAAGATGCTATGTGTGTCCAATAGATTAAAACTTTTTTCCTTTTTACCAGTTATCTATCAGAAAGTCTGATGCTGAAAGAGAGCAGAACTTGCTTGTCACAGTTGCTAGATATAATGAAAAGTAAGTAAAAAACACTTTACAAAATATTCTATAACAAAGCTACTTTTTAAAATATCTTGATATTTAACGAGATCTTTCATTGAATTATGGTATTATGGAGGCATGAAGGATGTATTGGTGGGGAACATATAGAAGGTACATGAAAAGCAGAATTTTTACACATATAGAACTTAAGAAAGTAAAAATATAATCCTATTCAGAAAGGATTGAGTTTCAAAACAGGGTTCTTTGAAAGTGTACACAAATATGTGATAGGCACTGGAAAAGACCTATAGGAAACTAAATTTAAGGATAATATTTAAACTTCTATTCTGTAGTTAAATCAGCTTTAACTAGTTAACATGTCTCATTTGCTAGTCATTTGTTAATATTACAAAAACTGTGGTTCTCAACTGTGTGCTGTTTTTGCAATATCTGGAGATACTTGGCTGCCACATCTTTGGGAGTGGTGGTGGCTGCTACCAGCATCTAGTGGGTAGGGGTAAGAATGCTGCTAAATATCTTGTAATTCACAATATACTCCCTTGGCAAGCTAAAAAATGTCTCCCCAAAAGATATCCATGTCCTAATCCTTGGAACCCATAAATCTTAACATATATAGCATTAAGGATCTTGAGATGGGGAGATCATATTGGATTATGCAGGTAGGGTCTAAATGTAATCACAGAAATCCTTATTAGAAAAGGCAGAGGGGGAGGTTTGACACAGCAAAGGCAATGTGAAGATAGCAGAGAGAGATTTGAACATGTCAGCCTTGAAAATTGGAGTGATACAGCCACAAGCCAAGGGCCAAGGGATGCTGGCAGCCACCAGAAGCTGGAAAAGGGAAGGAATGGATTTCCCCCTAGTGCTTCCAGAGAGGGCTGCCTTGCCAACATTTTGATTGTGGCCCAGTGAAATTGATTTCAGACTCCTGGGCTTCAGATCTGAGAGAGGATACATTCTGTTGTTTTAAGACTTTATGGTAATTTTTTTTTCTTTTAGAGGAGTAGGAAGGAAGGAGGGAAGGGGAGGGGAAGAGGGAGAGATACACAGACACACATCGATTGATTGCCTCCCACACATACCCTGACTGGGGGGTGGGATCATACTTGCCCTTCACCAGAAATGGAGCCTGCGACCTTTCTGTACATGGAACAAGACTCTAACTGCTGAGCAACACCAGGCAGGACAAGTTTACGGTAATTTTTAATAGTACCCTCAGGAAACTAATATATCCCCTTAAAACAGAATTATCCAGCCCACACTATTAATAGTGCTGATGTTGAGAAACCCAGTTTTAGGGGCTGAGTAGAACCTCCGCTTAACTGATTGGCTAGATTAGCCAGCCCTCTGTATTCCTCACTCTTGCCCATCACACTGAATGCTCGTGGCTACTTGGCTACTCCTTAAGATTAAAAGTCAATTGTATTTTTACCCAAAATTTTTTGTGTCGGTGTCCTTGTTAATTAAATGTGTAGTTTAATTAAATGCTGACTAACCAAAAAATTGAGATTGAAGATCTTGATCTTAGATGATAATAGAAAATGGGTGTAAATTTTTTATGTTCTAAAAGTTAAGATGCTGCAGGACATAGAAGCATAATTTCATGTTACCTTTTTGAAATGATCTTGAGGGCTTCCCCCTTTTAATTGAGAACAGTGGATTTGTGATTTATGAATGATGAAACTGTAGGTTTTCAGGTATACCACTAGAGGGTTCACTTCCAAAGCTAACTGATTTGGCCATTAACAATTAGGATCGTGGAATTTAGTAGGTAGGAGGCTTAAAGATAAACCACTGTGATTATTTTATAGCTCAGTTTTATTACTGATTTTTCTTTACCTTAATTTTACTCCACTTACTTTAATATGAAATAAGAATAGCTCTTCATAAAATACTCAAGATATTAAGGTAGCTTATATCTTTTTTTTCACAACAAAGTTATTGTCCTAGGGGTGTTGAGTCACAAGTATTAATTCAGTTGAAAACACTGCTTAATTTGCATTATGAAATAAGTCAGTGGCATAGTCGCCCGCCCGTTTGGAGCATGTGGCTGGCTGATGATAAGCCCTGGATCTCAGCATTTCCCTGATAAATTTTGAAATTTCTATTCTTTGGTTTATTGTCTTTGAATAACAAACAGTTCAGGTAGAGGATGTTTCTGCAATTATAAAATCACTGACATAGTAGTTTGCTTTTAGCCTAACAAGGACATTTTTGTGTTCTTGATGATGTTTCATTGCATAGGTTCTATATTTTATTAAAGCAAAGGTTCATCAACTGACACATTTTTACTAAGCTTCCTCCCTTTATTGCACGTTATGTAATAATGGTTTCCTTTGCAAGTAAGTAGCACACTCTTTGACCCACCATCTGTAGGATAGAATGTTATATGGCTGGTGGCAGGGAACAAAGCATGTTGACTAAATCACGGAGGAACTATTAAAAAGCCTTAAAACTGAGCAAAGAATGAGCACAGGAGGACATGAAAAAAATACTGACTAGATTGTAGAATGTGCTTATCTTTATGTTATACATAATATGGGCTAAGCAGCAGACAGCTATAATTACTTGAGCTTCTATAGAGTATGGTGTTCCATTGTATTATCATGCGGAATGCAAATCCTGAAAAGAGAATCACATCATTTCAGGAGTGGTTTATGTTCCATAACATGGGAAAATACTCAACTCCGTTATGAGAACAAGGCTTATTATCTAGTATAAGTTCTTTTTATCTCCACATAGGCATGAGAAACTTGGTAAAGAAATATGAACCACCCAGACCTGAAGAAGTTGCTGTTCTTAAGCAGAAGTTGGAGAGATGTCACTCTGCTGAGCTTGCACTTAACATAATTACGTAAGTAGTTGTAATGGTGTTATTCAAAAATAGATATGGGAATCCCTGAACCTCTCCTTGCCCTTTTAATTTCTGGATTCTTTGCAGGTCTGAGATCTCATCTGAGGAACAAGTACACTGCTCCAAACTTATTTTAGCTACTCTAGGGAAATGGTGTATTTTCCTTCATGTATTGAAGACAGAACCAATAGGAAAATGTGCTGTTACGTATTTTTTTGCAGCCATAAGGAATACCCATGTCTGTCTGTCTCTCTCTCACTGACTTGTAGGCCATACGTGGAAATCACCATATTCAGGATCTGTATGCTTTTCAAGTTGAAGGACCTACTTAAACCTAATCTTTTAGGAATTTAAAGGATTGAGAATCTGGGCAGGTAATAGGAAGGTAAAACTGCAACTGTGGCTTAGCATAGAACTTAAAATTGGTCGATTTCACTCTTGGGTTTCATTGATAACAGGAATGAAGGAGTGGTTACAAAGAAGTAAAGAATGTTAACTTTAATGAATGAAAGCAGAGAAGCTCCCCCCCCCCCATCCATAGTTTTGCTTTCTGCAGTTTTCTTCAGCTGTGGTCCAAAAATATTAAATGAAAAATTCCAAAAATAATTCATAAATTTTTAATTGTGCACTGTTTTGAGCAGTGTGATGAAGTCTTACAATGTCCCACTCTGTCCCACCTGGGGGTGAATCATCCCTTTGTCCAGCATATCCAGGCTGTATGTACAGCACAATAAGTTGAGACTGCATGACTCATTACAGTATGTCATCATAATTGTTTTATTAGTTATTGTTGTTAATCTCTTACTGTGCCTAATTTAGAGATTAAACTTTATCATAGGTTTTTATTTATAGGGAAAAACTCCAGTATGTATAGAGGTTAGTACTTTCTGTGGTTTCAGGCACCCACTGGGGGTCTTGGAATGTATCCCCTGCAGATAAGGGGGAAATTACTAAATTGCAGCACCAGTAATTTTTTTTTCACAAGTGATTTGAAATGAGCTTAGACCGTGGCTTGGCAAACTACATAGCCCATAGGCCAAATCCAGGCAACTACCTATTTTTAGAAATAGTTTTATTGGAATGTAGCTATACCCATTAGTTCGCTTATTGTCTATGGCTGTTTTCACACTACAGAAGAAGAGTTAGGTAATTTTGACAGAAATTATTATGGCCTAAAAGGCCTAATTTATTTACTATCTAGCCCTTCAGCAAAACATTTTTCAACCTCTGGGTTAAGCCATGAACTATTAATCCAGCCTTTTAGTTAGGTAAGTGAATGGACCATAACCTAAAATTTGAAGTGCCAGAGTTTACATCTTACTCAAATTACCATCCACTTTATACTGTGTCAAGCAAATTCTACATTTCTTTGTGTACTTGTGGGGTACTTCTCAAACTGTAAAGGAATGTGTGTTTTTTTAAATTCGTTACAGACCTATACTTTTGTAAAATATAACATTACTACAAAATGAGTAAAAAAGACATAGTATAAGCTTAAATTTTATTAGATTTAACAGTCATAATTTATCAAATTTCTGTAAAAGTTTCTAAACACAGTTTCTGAACTTATTGCACACTGGAAATAGTTAATGGACCACTCCTGTAAGCACTACTTTAGGATAAAATATTTGTTTTCCTTGGTCTTTAAAATTCTTTTATCTTTTCTATTACACAAGTAATTATATCATTATGAAAGTCAGTCAATACAGGTAAACCAAAGTTCTCTTTGACCAAAACCCAAATCCCAGTTTTGTCCTCAGGTAACTTGGTGTTTACCTTTGCCAACCTTTTCTGTGTTTGTGTATGAAATAAAGTTTTTTTCTTTTCATGAATGCTTTCATACATATTATACATTTAGTAGTATCAGTGTTTCAATTTGCATTTCCCTACTATGAAGGAATAACATTTGTATGTTTAAGTCATTTGTATTTCTTTTCTATTGCTTACTTAAAACCCTTGCTCAATTTTCCGGTCTTATTTTCTTGATTAGTAGTTCTGTATTTTCTATACTCATCTTTGTATATATTATATACCTCTTTTCTTCTGTTTCTTTCACTTTGTGATATATAAGGGAATTTGTCACTTGCTTTATGCTTTAACATCTAAATACCTTTTCTTGACCTAAATCATTTTTTTTTTTTTTTTTGCCTTTTCAGCTGTTAAAAACATTTGGAATTGTTTGTGAATGGTCTGAGGTAGAAATTAATCTTTTTTCAAATAACCTGTTATAGCAGCCATTTTAAAATATTTTATCACTTTTCTCACTTAAATACTCATCTATTACAGATTAAATTCCTATATAAAATTGTTTTGCCTATATACTCTAATCATTTAAATTGTTTTACTCTTTGTTAATACCACACTTTTAATTACCAGTTTTATGTATAGTACTTTGATGAGAACTGGGACATGGTTCCCACACTTTCTTTTTCAGATTCCTTTTGCTATTTTTGCATAATCTTTTCCAGGTCAGGGTTAGACTTGATGAGTTCCATAAAAAGTTTATTAGGATTTAATAAGAATTACATTGAATTTAAAGATCTGAAAGATTTTCTTCATAATTCTTCACCTCTTTCCATGTGTGGTCTTCAGAAGATATACAGGTATTTCATATAGCCTTGGTAGTTAATTTTATAATTATGTTGCCTGTTATTAGATTACTTACTGATGATTGCCTAATTACAGGAAGAAGAGGAAAGGCTATGAAGATGATGATTATGTCTCAAAGAAATCCAAACATGAGGAGGTATGTTCTTCATAGGTAAATATTAAGTTATTGTGCATTCTGGTGTGACCATATCATTAAAGTTTTATTACTCCAGAGTGCAAGCATTTTATACATACATACATACATATATATATATATATATTTGGGTTTTGAAAGCATTCATACTCTTCATGTACACTGTATATTATTACATGAATTTTTCTCACTTCTTAGTCTGTTTTGAAGTAGTATAATAGTTACTTGAAGAATCCTTCCTATGGTCATAAAAAGCAGCAGGGATAGACATACACGCTATAAAGTTTTGATCTATTATTTGCTCTCCAAGGATTCTTTTCCTACCCTTAGAAAGAAATTGTGCCTGGCAAGTCACATATAAATAATCAGAAGCAGAAGGCCACAACTGTAACCTTCATTCCTGTCACTGGGGTAGTCTGGTGAGACCATGTCATATTACTGTGAGATTAAACTGCAAACGTTCCTGGTTTATCTAGCGCCCATAATCAGCACAGTAAAAGGGGACCATTTTCCTAAAGGCAGGCAAGGAGGTAAACAATACTGGTTATGCTTCAGTATAACATCCTTACTGTACCCTCTTTCCTTCTTAGGAAGAATGGACTGATGATGACCTGGTAGATTCTTTAACCATTTGAAATTGGTTTCTCAGTGCTAACAGATCAAGAAATGGATGAAGCATATCTGGCATTTAAATTTCTTTAAAAATGAAATAAGGTGAAAGCATCAAAATACAGTAAACTTTATTTATTTGAAAGTTTTTCCTTTCAGGGTAGCTTTATGTGAAATGAGACATCTTCAAAGGACCCAGAATAGCACCTGGTTTGGATAATCTGCCCCTCCATGACTAAAAACAAATTAGTCTTCCTGTAGTGGCCACACCAAAGCTGTAACTTACTTGCCTATGTTGTTTTAAACAAAATGCAGTAAGCAAACATCCCTTTTGAAAAAGGCACCACAAAAAACAAAACTTAGTAGTCAGCTTTAAACACGCTAAGGAATGCTTTATGCCCTCTGGAACCTTTTATATATTGCTTCTCAAATGCCATCTTGATGTACTTTTATCTATTGTATGTTACTACTGAACTACAGAATGTACCAAAGCTAGTCAGCCAGAGTAACAGGTATTTGTTTTCCTCAATTAGTTAACTGAAAACATCTCCAAATGGGTTTCTTGAAAATGAAATCAAATAGGCAGTCTTTAGTAGTTTTCTAGATAAAAACTGAGTTGCTAAAGGTTAGGTAGTAAATTGTATGTTCAGTTTTATAATTAACCTGTTACATTACCTAAGTGAATCCATATAAATGCATTATAGTTACTAAAAATTTTCCAGATTATTCAAGAAATTTATTTCAAACACGAGTAGATATAAAAAAAAAATGTAAGTGCACAGACTGTAGCACCAAATTCCTTTGGTGTGAATCATGGCTACCTCCACTTTGTAACTTTGGGCAGATTACTAAAGTGCTCTCTGTGCCCATTTTTTCCCAAGGTGAAAAGGGAGAAAACACCTACTCCTCACAGGATTAATTAGAATAGTCTCTGTATACTGCATGTTCAATAAATGTTGGCTATTACAGCATTTGTTTCATTATTAACTAATCTTACTCATTTTCTAAGTTGGAACCAAATTATGGGTGTCTGTCAATTTTCTTCTCAAAAACTGGGTTGAAGGAATTCTGAGAAACTGCCCCGAATCTAGAAGTTTTATGGCTACATACCTCTCCTCATGTCAGCGCATCTCAGGCTTCACTTTCCATAGGTGTAGGTTCCATTTTAATTATATTAGTATTTGAAGGCAGTATTTACTACATGTGTATTTGTTCTCCATAATAATTTACATTTTAGGTATAAGCTTTTTTGGTGTCCTCGTTGAATGAGGAGTGAAATTCCTGAAGTGGGATTTTACGAAAGTGGACAGTCCTCCAGACCAGGTTAAGTACCAGTGCTGCTAGGCTCTAGCTGTTTAAAAATACCTTGTTTCTCTTTTAGGTCACTAAACTTTGGTATCAAAGCAAGGTCCACATCTCAAATTTTCCTACCCAGCCTCACTTTTAGAGGTTTTATTTCATCATTCCAAGTCCTGCAAAGGTAAATGACAAGTTTTCTGGCTTAAGAGACAAACATGTCATTAAAATATGAAAGGCAGAAGAGGGAGAAGCATTTCAGCTTGAGGAATGGCAGATAGGTCAGCATTGCTGACATCTGTTGTCTAGCACTGAGACACCAAGGAAGGAGACCAAGTTGGATACGACTGTGTTAGTCCAGCTGAAAAGCAGGAGGGATGGAAAGTAATATGATACAGAGACATGGGGAAAAAGTGGAATTGAATTGACATCAAGAAAAAGGAAGACAGAATGTGGTGAGTTTTTTGCCATCACTGTTCAACTGTGATTATAGCTATACTAGGGTGGGCTGCCTCCACAAAAATAAGAGTTTAAGGTTATACTATACAGAGAAAAATCTTGTAAACCCTCAATTAACACTTTTAATCAGAAAGATAGAATAAGGAGTTGCTCTTAGAATATGGGCCTTTAGAAAATTTTACTGTGGGAAATGCTTTTCCTAATATCTCCCTTAGTTCCTGTCTCGCCCCACTTCGATATACTGCTGCAGACTTTTTGTATGCCTTCTCTCCCCTACACAATTAAGGGAGTGAGGAATTGTTGCTTTACAAATACATAATGAATGAATGAACATAGTCCTTCCAAAGAGACGATTAGCAAAAAAGATGATCTGATGTTTCATCTTCTCTTTGGGCCTTGCTCTGACACTAAATTTAAACTGTTTCTAAATAAGGAAGAAAATGAAATTAAATGCTTACCTGTATTTAGACAGAAGTAATCAATTATTTAATACCCCTTGGTTTTATTTTAACTTAACCCTTGTGAATACTTCACAAAAATACACAAGCAAATAAAACTATACAGTCAAACTAAATACCCAGCAGATACAACAAGTAGTCAGAAGTTCAAAGATGGATAGCTGTTAAGTGACTCATGAGGTTGTTTGCATAATCCAAAAAAAATCAACTTGGAATTAATGAATACTTTCAACAAAAAGCATTCTAGGTGTGTTTTTAACACAAAAGAAATTGGTCATCTAAAATGGTTGAATAGGTAACATGCATCGATCAGTACAACGACCAGTAATATTTATTGAATTCAAACTATTTACTGTTGTAAACATTTAACAAAAGTATTATGAGATCTAAATACAGTCTTTGACAGTTTGAACAAATAAGTGGTATGTTTAAAAAATAAAGCTGATGAGCAATAGATCCATTCTATATATTTTCTTTCAACAGTTCCAGCAAGAGAAATAGCACAGTTTTTAAAAAAGTATACAGCAAAGATTGTTCCTATTATAATGGCAAACTCTGGAAACTGTAACAAGTCATTGAACAGTCAAACGGTCAGATTCCCAATCAGGAAGAAGTTACAGTAAGAACAGTCTGCAATCCAGTTATATTCAATTGTCAACAGAGAATGCTTTTTCTTGTCAGTTGATTTCATAGTTCTTTTTCCAAGAGACAGCAAAACTTTGGCAATTGGATGTATTGAAAATATATTCTCAAAGTTCAAGATACAGTCATAGCATTTTGTTGTATGAAAGGTGATCTGTACACCAAGGCTCAGAGGTTGGTAAAGATTGATTCCATATGTGGAAAAAGTGCAAATATCCTGCACAGATAGCTTACAAAGCTGCTGGTACAGTATTCACCAGCAGATCTGGGGCTTTGTTTGCATAGCTCACACATCACTGGAATGTGGAAAGGTGTGCTATTTTTTGGCAAGAGCAAAGGAGACATACTGGTGTGAATTACCATGTTGGGCATACTGAATCCATGCAGAACACTTGGGTGAAAGCTGCTACCTGACGTCATTGGTTTTTGTATACTGGTTTTGTTTTTGTTGAAGCAGTTCTGTTATAGCCAGAAGCTTTTTCAGTACGTGCTAGACAAGGAAAAACAGTATGAAAATAATTAGTGAATGAAAGCTCGGTTGGAAGTTTCAGGGATGGAAACCTGGATTTGAAAAAAGCCAGATTACTATTCTACTGAAATCATAAAATTTTGAAAATTTCTGAAGGACTGAGTAGATTTGGTCATAATATTTTGGTTATTAGAACTTTTGTACACTAAAGTGACTAGAAATTCATGTGTTTGGCATTCTTATATCTACTTAGGCCAGACCCAGATTTATAACGTACTCATCTTAAGCCCAATAAGATCACATAAGGGCAATCAGCTTGCAGCCTCGTGATCACTTTAAAGAATCATGAAAGAAACATGATTACATTGGGCCTAAACTGAAAACAAACATTACTGTTTTAAAAAGTCTTAATTGGACAAATCCTCCAAGAAGAATTTTAATGTTTAAGGCAAGTAATACAACAAACTTAGCTCCAGTGTAGCAAGGAGACATTATGCATGCCATGGGCACATAAGTAGGCCCATGGTATACAATATACCTAAGTTTCTAAAGTGATTGGAACCTTAATGAACCCGATTATTATCTTAAAAACTTGATTTTAGAATCTCAGGTTGAAGAAAACTCAGTCCTTTAATCTGTTCTATAAGGTCCTGGCCAAATGGCTCGCCAGTGTAGTGACCTACTGTGGGAAGAGCTTATTAGAAATGGCAATTTCAAATGTCACACTCGAGAATTTCTGATCTGGAGCTTGAAATATTTTTATCAAACTTCCTGAATAATTCTCATGTGTTTGACAGTTTATGAATCACTTGGCCATGTACTGTGTGTGTGAGACAAAGAAAAAGCCACATTACTACTGACACATTAGCTCATTTCCTATTTTCACACATGCCATTGAGGTGTATGAACACCATTTTTTCCAGCAGAGTTAACATTAATTTAGAATCAAGAGCAAGACTTGACATTTTGTAGTATCAAAATTACATAATCTTAGTCTGAGCCTGTTATTCCTGTCTGAGATCTTACTGGATTATGGTTCATTCTTTAAAATGTAAAATAACTGATAAAATAAAAACACTGACCATAACTCAGCTACTTACTACCTCTCAGAGAACCGTAAATGCTAACGAAACACTGTTAACGAAGGCTGGCAAAAACCTACCTGCTGCGCACCACGCTCATTACTGAGTGTTCTCAGTTCATCTGAATGGGCCACACAAATCTCATGCAGTGCTGCTAAATCACGGGACAGGTCAGTTCTAGAATGTTCTGTAGTGTCCGGAAGTTCAGGTACATTCTTTAAGGGAATCATAAAACTGCATTTAGAAGTAAAATCTTAGTCTCTTCTAAAAACATCCTAACTGATTATAATACGTAGAATTTTTAACACATAATATATTTAAATATCCTCTTAAGTTTCTGATAAAATTCTAAGGACTTATTGACATGTCGCATTCAGTGCTAATTCTACAAACGTAGATGTCATGACCTTGGTATTCATATCAAACTCGGCTCAATTTCCTTCTGTAGCATGGCAGGACGTTACACAGTGTCACTGCTATTCTAAACAAACGGGTTCCATAAACTTTATAAAGTTTTTTTTTTAATATGGAACATGTGCCAAAAAATGTAAGTATTGATTGCTAATCTGGATTAAATGAACCTAAACTTGAAATTTCCTCCACTCTTTCAGACTGAATCTCATTGTTAAGATACCATAGTTTGTCTAAATTTATCAGCATATGTGAGTAAGAGCTACATTATAAAAGTGTGATGAAGATGTGTTCAGCCTATAATTAATTATCAGTGGATTATTCCCCAAACTTGCTACTGTGTGGAAATGACCAGTGTTAATTATGGTACTTCAGGTAATGTTCAGAGTAACAGTCACTAGATAGTACTTTATTAGCACTAAATACTGACGATGTTTTGAGCCTTCGAATAAAATTTAACATGGTGACAATATTTGCTATACATTCCCTAAATACTGCAAAACACACAGTTTTCTGTAGAATAAAGAAATAATTAGCATATAAGTCATTCTTATTTATTCAGTGAATGAAGGATTATAGGAATGAAAGACATCCATCAGTATTTGCCTTCAGAGAGCTTACAGTATAGTTGACATGACGGAACTAAACTTATCATAGAAACACAGCATGACCACAGACATGCAGAGGGTACTTGGGAAGCAAACACTCAGGTTTAGGGCTCAGCAAAGCCTTCCTGAAGGAGACATTTGAGGTGAGTCTTGAAAGTTAAATTTGATTTCTACAGGTAGTGAAGGAATAGAAGAGTGTGAGGAGACTGGAAGAGCATTAGAACACTGGGATTCTAAGCAGTTTGAAAGGCTAGGTTACACATGGAAAGTGACAGACAAAGCCAAACTGTCGACATTTATGATTATGGAAAATGGAGCCCCAACCATGAATCTGAAAACCTAGAAATATGGCTTAGGATAAAATGAGCTAGCCTTAAATACTGGATAAATAGTTTTCACACAGCTCCTTAAACATTATTTTTCAATCACTGACCAACTATATTTTTTCTAGAAAAAAATATTAGTATATAAATATTTATAGTACACATAGTATTTACTTCTATCTTCAAAACTTCCCAGGAGTTCACATATGGAAGCGTGGACTTAGCACTTGCTCCTTTAT